CCATCTACCAGGGTACGGCGAAACTGACAGCAATAACTGCACGGTGCCAACGCACTTAGGTAATGACGGACCCAGCGATTTCGAAGACCAGCTGCTTGAAGCGCACAACTATTTCCGCTGCCTTCACGGCGTGGGCGCTCTTAGCTGGAACACAACGCTCGCACTGAAGGGTCAACGCGTGGCACAGAATAATTCAGAAAGTGGAAAACTTGAACACACTTCCTTGTACGACTATGGGGAAAATCTGGCTGTGACGAGAATGGAAGATATGAGTTACGCAACAGGTATGGAATACTTACTAAAATATGCTAGTTAGATACATATTTTATTTTCATGGAGATAGAATTTAAATAAATTACAATCGCAGTTACTACACTACCTAGGGTGTGTACATATTTCGATACACACAAATATATACGAAATAAATAAATAATCATATCTTCCGTTTCAAAACCTGAAAAATGTTTCATACAGGCGCAATCAAATATCTATATAATCAAAACTTGTTCTGCTTTATGATATTCGTTCTTCGAAATGATTTCACTTTTCGTGTTGGTAGTCTTAACAACCTTCCCGCGTTCAAACCGACCATTCCGGGATTAAGTGGTGCTCACAGTGGAGTCAAGTGTGTACATAATGTACGAATTCACACCCAGACACCACGCACTGTTCAGCCAATCATATTTCGCAATAATCCAGCGGATCAGGGCTTTGTGAGAACAGTTTCCTGATAGGTTGACTAATACTTGTTATTGTTCGTCTGATGTGTTATTGACAGGTTATGGTTTTGTTAAGTTATGGTACGATGAGATAAAACATTACGATTACAGCAAACCCGGATATGCACTTGAAACTGGTAAGTTAATACATACAGCTTGAATTAGGGGGAAAGATACCCGTTGACGCCTGGCATAGATGATTTTCCGTTCACTGCGAGGTCTCGCATATTGCGTGAAATGCACGGCCCGAATCTTTCAGAGTGAAATATATTGTTGAGATACCCTCACCTCATCAAACTAACTATAATCCAATGTTTATAGCACATTATTAAAATAGCAAAGAAATAGCTTCGAGTTTGTTGAATCACAGTGTTTTGAACGGAGTTGGTTTATTGCAGACAGTAACGATTTACCATGTCCAAATATATGTTCAGAAATAATTCCGACTGTCATAACCCGTATACTACCGATAAGTTATTAACATAATGTGACTAGTACTCACGTCTAACAATACTGTTACTTTGGCATTGATGTTCAACGACAATTAGAGTCGAAATAAAATATGATGACAATGTTTGCAACAAACGAACACGTTGATATTACCCGAATAAACAACCACAACCAACAATGGTGAAGAGAAACGATGAAAATAGTTAAAACTAAACATTCTGTATTTTATTTACTTGTAATTCCCTGAGTTTTAACATTCCCACTCTCGTTTTTCCTATAGGACACTTCACCCAAGTTGTGTGGGCAGATAGCAAGACGCTTGGCTGTGGCGCTGTCGACGATGGCAACAGAGATTGGCTCGCCTGTGAATATAGCCCACCTGGCAATTACAACAACCAGTTCTCTTCAAACGTACCTCAACCATTATAATGATTATACTATTGCACACTTAAAACGTCTGAATTAAATCTGTTATCGATCTGTATTGCGTATTGTTTTTGAGTTTCTATTCTTGGAACCACGTATATGAAACAATCTGTTATTTTTAAAACCCATTATTTCAAGGAATTCTTAATATTAAAGTAAAAATGAATTCCAAGTCTTTGTTTTTTAATCTTCTGAAAAAATAAACTATTGAAACCCCAAGAAACGTCTATATATATTTTGTTTTATCTTATCAGTAATATATCATAGTTCATAGCATAATATTATATCTAAAATATTCAACAAATCATTTGTTTGTGAGGCGAGTGCCTTGCAATTTTTGCAGCTTGTTAACAACATTTTTAATCAGACACTTTTTAACGATCACTGACTAGAACCAATCATTTTTTTGTTTTTAAATACATAGTGTGTTTGAGCCCAAAGCGCCCTCAATGTCATTTCATGTGGCTGTGGAAATAGCACTTGCACCCAAACTCCTGGCGACTCAATCCTGAGCATTGCATCGTAATCTCATTGAATAAATTCACTCATCATTAGCTAAATCATGTAAAACAAAATGGCTGCCAGTCGATGGTTTTGACTTAATTAATATTCACAGTTATACCTATTTATAGGTAGCCGTGTTACATGGAATATTAGTTTGATCAGATAAGGAAATGAGCGCACCACTAAGTGCAGTCATTTGTGGGAGTATATTTAAAGTGCTACCTGGTTGTCGTTACTTGAAACAACATAATACTTTTGTTGCAGCTGTTACCTGAATATGTGAAATTCAGAGTCGAGTACAGCAAACACGTAACACGTTGTACTTTCAGATTTTGACGAAACAAAGCGTTTTTAAATATGATGGTAGAAACAGCAAACACAGTTACAAAAATAACAAATCGGTAAAATAGAACCAATGCAAAACTACTTACAAGCTTGTGCCTGATTGGTTACCCATTCCGAAAACCTAACTGTCAGACCAATCAGACAGCAGTTTGTTTGTTTACAGATTCTTTAGACGTATCAAATTTTGCATTGTATATATGCTTTGACTCAACTGGCAAAATAAAAATCGATCAGTATCCAAAGACAAGTTCTCATCCACAATTGAATGGAACTAGCATATATTGATTATAGATACATCAAGCGGTAACGCAAATTTTCACCCGCATTTCGTAAAATAATATTTCTTTCCGGAAGTATGGTTATAAATTATCAGTAGAATGAAACATTTATTCTTTTATAGGGACGAACATAACGTTGGCTACATGCAGACTTGAAGTGTACGCCACCAACCGGTGTATCTAAATAATTAAACACGCGTGTCTGGAAACAATTCGTTATCTCTTTCATGCTGCAGCTGAATGTGCCTTATCAGTGATGAACATTTTGCGTGCTTGTTTTAACAACAACGTTTAGTCGCATGACAATAATTTTCGTGTTTCGCACATAAGCACGGAACGGTAGTTCCCATGGACACACTGCACATGGCATTCTGTTGTTATGCCAAACTAAATAACATAATATGAGCTTATTATGAGGATACCTCAAAGTATGCACGAAGACAATACAGCGCGTCGATCAATGTGAAGGCATACTTTGAGGTATCCTCGTAATAACCTTATCATTATACATATTTTCTTCCAAGGATACACCATGGGAATGTTGAAATCTAAAAAAAGTGTGGAACAGAATCAGCAAATTTTTTTGTGTGGAGTCCGGTCAAAGCCTGGTTGCAGCCATGTTTGTTTTTATTGTTAGAGAACGCTTACGCGCGTAAACATTCCATATTTAGAATTCGTATTTCCTAATATGCTAGGATGAAAAATCCACGTAAAATACCGCAAAAATTACGGCACGCTGTAACTTATGGCGTTACGGTGACAGATGTATAATAATATTAATTAATCATATACTATTTTGTATATTTTTTTTAAAAAAAACACATATTTTTTAAAATTAATCAAACCACATAAATTTCAATACATCACCATATGTATTCGTTTACTCTATAATAATATTTCATTCAAAGAAAACAATAAAACAGTTTATGACCATCAACTCGACCATATCGCGTAGAGTACTTAGTCACAGTTAAATTGGCAAGAAACAAATTACTCCTTTGAGTGAGCTTATTCGAAGGGGATAATGTTTCGAAAGGTAATAAAGTATTCATCACAATACATGGTTGCTATGGTTTCAATGTATGCTTGGATAAACCTGTGCCATCAACGGTTACACCAATAAAAACAGGTTGACACAACGTCATAAACCGAAGTTTAGTGCGGATACTCTTCCTCCTTAAATTTAAATGTTCACTGTTTACAAATTCGACGGCGTGAGGGGAGGGGGGTTAATGACAATGCATACACACAATCATAGACCAGTGGCCACACTGAATTATCCGAACATTAAATAAAATATTGAATTTAAGAAAATACAGTGCACGATTGCACAATACATTGCTGCATCGAACCTCCCATTGTATGTAATTGAAAACTATTGAAACACAGAAATACTACTAGAATTAAAGCTAAATTTGAATGTTTTTGTAATATTAGGATTCATATAAATAATAATATACGACTTTTCCATTCTATGCCATCAAAGAAATTATCGAGATATGAAGAAATAAGGTCATCATTGGCACCATCGCGAAAATGTAACTTCTTTATTAAGTTTCTGACTTTCGGTTCACGAAATAATTTCCAATAATTAAATTTTGTTAACACTAAAACACGAAAAAGAATATATCTTATCTTGAACTTATCCTCCTTAAATATATCGTGGGATAATGTGCACATTGCTATCATTAAATAGGTATTGTCCTGAACTCTTCTTCTTCTGTATAATACTGTTCTGGTAGTACAGTCTATGGGTTAAGAGGTTTTTGTCCGCCCCATCTGATGTAGTAAATGCTGCTAAAGATTTGCTGTGTATGCCACAAATATGTATGATAGAAAGGTCAAAGCTTTTGATCAAAATATCTAATTTTGGTAATCTGAAGTCAAAATAATCACAATTATGCGTAAACATTAGGCTAGAGGGAAATATGGATCGAAAATATATTTAAAACACACACACATGGGTTTAATTATAGCGTGTTTTCTTCTTTGAAAAACATCACGATCACGAGTAATAAATACACGAGTTGATTGATAGTTTATTACATAATAACATATTTACAAATTGTATGTTATATTATCACATGTGTCAGGCATTATTCAAATAATGATTACTCTTGATTAGGTCGCTACTCATTGTGATTGTCGCGACCCGACACCCTTGAGTAAGGCCGCTGCCACCCTACGTATCTCATTATTTAACGGACAATATGTGTTAAGGTGTCTTTTTAACGGCCACTCAGTGCAACGAAAAGTTAGTTTCCTTTACTTTAAAACTGTGATGCAATCGTCCAAGTGCTCTCAGCAAAATTGTATATGCTGTCCCAGTGATCAAATATGTTTAGGAAAATGACCACAAAGATTCATAATTTCGTAACATAATTATCATTTGAGAGTGAGTAAGCGCAAAATAACACTTCATTGGATTTTCAGAGCCGGCCTTTGAAAAACAAGAAACCGCAAAACGAGGCCGAATGAATCCCTACAACGTGACACATTAGTATTACAAACCCTGGAAGAAGAAACTCCTGAAAACATTCATTACCATAGGACTGCATGAAAGAGAACTTGATATACTTATATTGGTCGTAGTTCAGATGTTGGTAATAACGAAATGGTACAAAAATGAACGACTAGCCTCAACAGACAATAAGTTTCTTGAATTATATATGAATGGACATGTGGGCAAATAGAGCCGCTAGCACTCTCACACATCAATGTTATTTGTCTTGTATATAACACAGTATCCATTCGACTATGATGCCCGTGTTGGGCAGGATGTATTCACTCTTTTCAAAATATAGACAATTAACAGCGACTTTCCTAATATAATAATTTGGAGTATTTTCACCATATAAAACAATAATTTCAACTTGTCCCTGTTCAATTATTCAATGCATATTAATCACATTTTTATGGGTGCTGCACAAAGAAAGCATCCAATCATCACGAATGAATAGTTAGTTAATCGTTTTATACGATGAGTAATTGACGTTAATTTCTTATTTGTTATCCATACACACGAGTTGCAACATGCCATTCCCAACATTAGTGTTGATGTTGTTCTTCATTTTTCAAAATTGTACATTTGCAATGTCTTCTTATGTTTACACTGGAACCCAAATTAGTTTTAACAATGACGTTGCACAAAGGGGAATAAGGGAAAAAGTATTTCTCAGCTACAGCTCTATTATGTGTTTCCATGATTGTATGAAGTTAGGGGCCGCGTGTGAGGCTATTAGTTACCATCCACTATACCGTACATGCCACATACATAAGGAAATCAGGAAAAGCCAGTTATCCTCACGACCTGGATGGATGTTTGCATCAAAAGATAAATTCCAGATTCTATCTACAGAAGAGAACAATGAAGTAAGTGGAACTCAGAATTGCGCAACTCGGAATGGCACCAGTGCGTCACTGGAAATGTGTTTTCTTAATTTGTTTAATGGCATGCACACCAGTTACCTTATGTACAAATTTTACATGATACAATATTTATATACACACACATTATGTTATATTATTATACATCTGTCATCGTAACGCCATAAGTTAAAGCGTGCCGTACGGAGTATTTTCATCCTATCATATTAGGAAATGCGAATTCCAAATTTGAAATGATTACGCGAGGAAGCGTCCTCTAATAATAAAAACAAACATGGCTGCCACCAGAGTTTGACCGGACTCCACACAAAGCAGTTCGTTGATTCTGTTCTAAACATTTTGAATTTCGACATTCCCATGGTGTATCCTTGGAAGTAAAAGATTTGAAATAGTAAGGTTATTACGAGAATACCTCAAAGTATGCTGCACTCAGACAGTACGCCGCTGCGCGTCGGTCAATACTCCCGCTGTACTGTCTTCGTGCATACT